AAGTCGTTCTTTATTGTGGATACTCTCTATCGCAAATGGTCTCACTGACCGGTATGCGACGACCTCCGGTGCTGCGTATCAGGTGAAATAGTCTTTGACTATTCCCTGATGCAGAAGCTACCTTCATTTCACTAGCTATTTCGACCCACCAACTTTCACGATCTTTCTTAAGGCTATTTCTGAGTTGACGTTGCAGGCGACACCGGTCCTTATGCTGATCCTGGCAGATTGGGATCTTTCGCTTTTGATCCATTAGGATTACTGACTCCTGATAGATCTAATGCCTTCGGTGATCTTCGGGGTCAGCCCCACAGGCAAAGTTTGCAACCGAGTGTATCGCAAATCTAATTTGATTCCACTGTTGGTCTACTCCACTATGTCGCGGTTCTCATAGCTCCTGTCCCAGCTTCTCATAACGTGCGCAGACAGTTGGATCGCGCAGACGATGGTGAGCTAATTGAGGAGGCGATTTCTGCCGATGACCAATGAGTCGAAAAGCGAAGCGTAGCAGAACTAGTGCATAATCTGACTCAACGCAGGTGGATCATTAGGATCTGCAATTTTGTACCGAACCACGCCAACGGTAGCTTACAGCTTCGTGGTCAGTTTGGGTCACTGTGCCCGTTGAACTAGAACACCATGTAGCCGTTCGACGAGAGCTGTGTCGAAAGTTAGTGCTAGATAAGAAAAGCCGGTGATCCGCACAGAACTGAAGTAGTCGATCACCGTTGTCTGTTCGTTGGGCGGTAAGGGCGAAGTGTCCTAGACAGGCTTCCGATGCGCTCAGTTTTCCAACCTGCGCGTTAAAATCACCTGCCAACACTAAAATATCAGAGTTGCCGCTCAACCGAATCAGTTCGGCGAGTTTGTCTTGAAATTCGTCCTTTTGTGAAGCGAGATTGCAGTTGGTTGGTGCATACACCGAAATGATGAACAGACACCTTTTGATGTTGCTACCCTTCCGAACACTAACTGATCCCTGTAGCCTCATTGCGCACAGACGACTATTGACGGGTATCTAATCTATCATAGAGGCTTCAGCTTTATCGTTTAGTACGATATCTACACCACGCTGACCCAGTGAGCGGGCTCCGTCGTCTCCTGATGTGCGAAGGAAATACTTCGGAGACAGACCCGGCGCACTCAGGTGGCTTATAATACTAGGATACTGAATTCGTGTCTCCGATACGCAACAGACCGATTTCTAGAGACTGCATTGTACTCGCAAGACACGCCTGTTGACCCACCTGTATAAGAGTTGAAAGCCCCCAGATTAAGAGGTTGACGAGGCTACAAAATCTGCACTTTATTTACAGGAAATCTAGTTACAGTGCTATTTGGCAAAGACCTTTGGCGAGTGACGAGCAAGTTGTCTGAGGGAATATCACGGGTCGGAAGAAGGGGTAAAGGGAGAGGGTCGAGTACGGAAGACAAAGTTAAACGAAGGTTAGGATATCTGAGCAGAGCCCACGTATCACTACTCACTCCGCTCGATGCAATGGGCAGCGCGGTTCTGATTATTCTGCGCGACGACCGATGCCATATGAAATTATGTTTTGTTTGTGTTCATTGGAGCTTTATGGACGGGTACTGCCAGGGTGTTCAGCCACTAAGCAGGAGAACGATTAAGGTTCTCAACCAAAGCCTTTAGTTCTGACAAAAACCTAACCGCAAGACAGCGGTTAAGGTGAATTAGAGGCCCAATAACTTGGATCAATTACTCCTCCAACACGTTTTATCGACTGAGACGCCGACTCAAGTCGAACTCCCAACCTGGACGACCAGGAGACTGGACTTCGGCTGACCTCTACCCATTGACCTTCCAGGCATAATTAGATCTTTGGCTCGGTAACAGCCATCCTGTGTAGCTCGTTGGGTCATAGAGGTGCACAAGCCATCACACCACGTCAAGGTGCAGTCTCGTCGTGCAGCCTCGCGTATCCACCGTTTCCTTGGTCTGCCTGAAGTTATTTCCTGAGT